CCAGGTTTTATGTCTCCCAGGGACACCGGGGCTCAGTACGGTACCATGACAATTGTAAAAATGGCTAATTGTGCCGTATTGAGGTGTGTAAACCATATTATCCCAGTAATAGTCATACTTTTGGATAACTTAATTGGTTTTAGCAATTGTGTTACTGAATCGCCATCAACGTCTACAGCCTAGACAGCGACTCTAGTATTTTTCCCAGTTATGAGTTTGCCTTTAGATTTCTATCAAATAGAATAACAGCTTGTAGTCTAACGTGCTTTGAGTTAGACTACAGTTCCTAGTTAGACTAGGAACTGCTATATAAATGCAAATCCATTTCGATTCCCCAATCCAGGAAAAATCCTGGATTCTTGCATCTTTTCTGTGAGTAATCCATTGATACATGATTGGTATCAAATAACAGGGGGAAAAATGCAAAAACGAGAAAGAAGAAAAAAAATCTGTGTTATTACACAACGAGTCAGTAAAATCCAAGTAGTGCTTGTTATGTGGAGATATATGAGAAGTGATTCCCCAGAATTTTTTTCAGGGGCTGTTTTAACCAGTGTTCATCGCTATTATGTCGTAAATAATCTCACATACACACTCATGCAATTTTATGTCCCAAAGTAATAAGACAAAACCTAGCAGTCGTGACACAGCACCTGAAAGATCCATCTGGCATCTCTACTGTTCACTGAAGCCTCATCAGAAATGTCTCAGTGGAAGGGTGGCTGTCAAGAAGCCATTCTTAGGGAAGGGAAACAGGGAGAAAAGGCTGAGTTATGCCATCAGTGGTATCTTATAGAAAGATGCCTTCAAATCTAAAATTATTGGTTGAAGTTGTTGTCAGTATTTATGTAGGAGGTCATGAGAAAGGTACAACATAGAGTTGCAACAGCTATCTGTAAAACATAGTGGAGGCTTTGGGGCTGCATTTCAGTCAGTGGTGTTGTGGAGAGGTTGTCAAAAATTAATGGAATTATGAATGACACACTGCCAAAACAATGAAAGCATACCTGGATAGAAAAACACACAGTGGAACACTATCGGTCATGGATTAGCCTCCTCAGAGCCCGGACCTTAACATTATTGAACCAGTGGGGGTTCATTTTGACAGAGAACAGAACAAAAGGCAGCCAATGCCCAAAGAAAAGCCTTGAATGGTCTTTAGGAAGAACAAGAACAAAGACCAAATACCAAATACTGATTTTCCACGTTATTAAAATTGTAAACATTCTGCTTTAGCTAATAAACTGCTGCACTCTTTTCCCATTTTACTAGCAAAATATCAAGAACTGACAGGTACCTGAAACATTTAGCATAATACTGCATTTTAAATGAACCTCTGCCTTTTGATCCTTTCCCGAGTCTTGGACAAAATGACACACACACAAAAAAATCAATTAGTGTAATCATGGCTCCCAATGGAGCTGTTTAAGGTGACTTTGGCGTTCATCCAGCAGATGGCGCAGTTACTCACATAATAAATTTTTATCGATAGAAACGTCAGCAAAAGTTTACTAGGCTGAAGGAAAGAGTGCTGCGTGTTTTCCTTTCATTGTGAGTTCCTATGCTATAAGGAGAAAATTATAATCCCACTTATTTGTAATAGAGTTTAGGTAACTTTTAAGTTGTAAGAGTGTAGTGCCAGCTTCAATAATATATCACCACATTATCTGAAGTCCTGAACATCATTGTGGAATAACGACTTTCAACATAGGAAAAAAAAATAATTTATTTGACAAATACAGAGATGGAGACATGTTGGCAGAGAACAGCACTGGGGACAGGGCCACCACTCCCAAAATGCTGTTGCTTCCATTTTCATGGAACTGGTTTAGAGTGAATTCGAGTCTTAAATTGAAAGGCGTGGCAGACAAATACAGGTAGTGCAGCATACAGGTAGGTCATCTTCAGATTTCCTTCCCTCGGTCACAAACATGGTGTAGGATCCACATCCAGAATCCAAGAGCCTCATACCGCAGACCTTACAGGAAAGACACATTTTTAGACAAACAAACTGTGACAACAGTGACTTGTATTACGTATATAAATTCATCACAGCGATACTGTGCAAATAACAGCAAATAATACGCATCACTTTGGTCCACTCGAAGCTTTACTAACCGACATATCCTAAGCTCTGTAACTCAACAGCGTGTCGTCATAAATATGGCATTACCATTCAAGCCAAATCCAGTTTCTTCTGTGTTTCTGATAGCTTTTCCTGGAGTCGTTTTTTCCTCCAGTCCAGAAACCTTCTCCTCATTCTGTTTGCCTGCCACCCCGCCAAGAAGCCGGCAGCGAAAGAAACCACAACGGCGACCTGTAGTGTCCTCTCCGAGACGTCTGCCATGTTCACCTCTGTCTGACAGATGCACACATTTGTGGAAGCATGAAAATCTTAATACAGGAAGTGAACTCCTGCGAGTCTTTTTCTTCTTCTTGTGCTGGGTTTACTAGCAATTAGCTAACTGCTCAAGCGTGCCACCTACTGGCTGAAGTGTGTAGCAGAAGGTTAGCAGACAAGCTAAAGTTGAGAAAATAGCAACTAAGTACCTAAATACTTAATTAACTAAATAAATAAATTCTTTATTACGACCATTCTTCTTATAAGTGTTGAATACTGACTAAGTGTTTACTACAGTGTTTCTTTTAATTTCTAGATACGTTTTTCAAAATATCATAGACTCGTGGTTACTTTATTAGGCACACCTGTTTAGCTACTCATTAATATAAATTTCTAATTACCCAATCACAGGATAGCAGCTGAATGGATTTAGGTATGTATGCATGGTCAAAACAACATTGTAAAGTACAAACTGAGCATCAGAATGGGGAAGAAATGGGATTTAAGTGACTTTGAATGTGCTATTGTTGTTGGTCTGAGTATTTTAGACACCGCTACTCTGTTTGGAAAGAAAACAATATCCAGTGAGTGGCTGTTCTTTGGGTGAAAATGCCTAGTTGATGCCAGAGGTCAGAGAATAATGGCCAGACTGCTTCAAGCTGTAACTGTAACTCTAATAACCACTCATCGTCACAACCAAGGTATGCAACTTTTGGAATGTGGTGGAGTATGACATTTGCATCATGGATCTAGAGCCAACAAATCTTGTCATGCTATCATGTCAACATGGAGCAAAATCTTGAGGCAAATTTTCAGCGCCTTATTGAATCTGTGCAATGAACTGTTAAGGCTGTTCCGAAGCTAAAAGCAATAGCAAGATTTACCTAATAAAGTGACATGTGAATGTAGCAGTCAATTCCTGTGTCGCTGAGGTTTGTGAATTTTTCCCTTTGTGATGCTTTTAGCCTCTGCTATAATTGATTAATCTTTTCTTTTTATAATTGAATCTGTAAATGACCTGTTTGGTTTTCAGTTTTTATCATGTGTTTCTATATCAACAATCAAATCACAGCTTAAATGAACACTTATTAGTAATATAGTAATAATAGTAATATTAGTTATTGAAAGTGCAAAGAAAAAAATCTGAAAATTGGAAAGCAATTTGTGGTTGCTTGTTGTAGCTTGTTTTCACAGCGAAAGGTTTTACTAAATACTGATAAGCAGTAACGCGTTACTGCCCATCTCTGTAATCCAATTACTTTTGCGACGTTGGTGACAACAGATGTGTGCAGATCAACAATGGATAATATATCCAGTGCGGGGACAGAGTATGAGCGTGCAGCGTTTAAAGCGTGGAAGTACTGACCTTATTTTGAGTTTGATTCCATAAAAAGTGACAAAAACATAAACTCGCGGATTCTTCAACTGACCGCTGCGGCTCACCTGCACCAGGGCAAACCTCTGCCTACCCTACTCCTGCTTTACAGGTGAAAATAGAGCAACAGGACCACTAGTCTTTGACTTTATTTATTTTCTGCTGTGTTTTACTTGCATCTATTTGAAAAAGTGAGTGTAAACACAAAAAATTATTTTATTTTATGTGCTGGAATGTGCAGAAAATAGGTTTAAATATTAAGCTTATTTCTTCCAGTCAGAGAATGTTGCATATAATTAAAGTTTTGCTTGATGCATAAAGTTAAACGATTAAAACTAATAAAACAAGTTTTAAAAAGAGACTTTTCCATTTGATTACATTTTGTATGATGGATTATGCAGAAAAAGTAGAATTGGGCTGAAAAATCTATTGCTTTATCACCTATTCAGGTTGTAAATCGTGTTTTTAAAAAGTAACTAAGCAATTAATTACTTTTGAAAATAAATAATCAGTAAAGTAACGGGATTACTTTTTGGGGGAAGTAATTAGCTACTGATTACTTTTTTCAAGTAACTTGACCAACACGGCTGATAATCAATCTGATATTCTAACTGCTCTATGATACTGTGGGATAAAACCTGCAGCACCAGTGCATTCTAGCCTTTGCACCATATGTGAACATGATCATTTGATTTGCAAAGTGCAGTTCTGTCTACTTTGCAATATGTATTATTGCAAAGTGGAAGTGTTTAGGAACCACAGCAAGTCAGCCAGACCACGTGGCAGACCACATAAAGTTACAGAGCTGGGTCACCGGGTGCTGAGGTGTGTAAAAGTCATCCACGCTCTGCTGATTCAATAAAAGCAGTTTCAAACCAACTGTGGCATTACTATCAACACAAAACTGTGCACCAAGAACCTCATGACATGGGTTTCCATGGCTGAGTAGCTTCAGTGGATGTATTATAGGTGCCTCACTTCACAGTAGTTCATCCCATAAATGTACTTTTTGTAAACCTTTGTACATTTATACTTACAATTGGTTTTCAAAAAAGAGAAGAAATTCAATTAAATAAATTCAATTGATAGTATTATTTCTGTCATTGGTAATTTTCTATACATGCTGATATCCCAGAAATATCATATTCTCAGTTCCTTGGCTATGATACATCCTGCTTTGTCTGTTTTACCATACAGCTCCTATTTCAGATAAATAAACACAGTTTTATCTTTCATCCTTTATGTTAACTAACAGCACAAAATCCAGTTAAATAAGAGACAGGATTAAAATAAAGCCAGGTTTATTTAAGTATCAAACAGTAAAGAACATCAAAATTCAATTAACATAGGTCACTAACTCAAAAATTGACAACATCCAGAGATTCTTAAATTTGTTGAAATAGCTCATGTGCTAAATGTTTGTGTTCATTTCTTGCATGTCTTTAAAATCAAGTTTGATAAAGTGAAACTGTTTTTTTTTTTATCATAAAAGGTACTAATCAGTCTGTGTTGTACAAACAAAGCATTTAAGCATTGAAAAAAAAACAAAATTAAAGTAAGTAACAAGTACTATACACATTAAAAAAGGCATTGTTTAACCAAGTTTGACAAATACTGTGTATGACTACCTTTTGTACAATGTCACACAAGAAAACTGAATTTGGTGGCTGCATAGCCCTGATTCTGACATGGCAATGTTTAAAAGAAACCAAAAACAACCCCCAAATGTTAATGCTCGAGACATTTTACATACAGCAGTTTCCCTTTTTAACAGTTAAGGGATGAAATCCTGCTCCATTCTAAATGACTGAAGAGGTAACGTATGAGAAGAATGTAACCTGAAGGAAGTCACAGAGGTGAAGTTTGCGAGTAGATATGTTGTAAAATGTAGTGATTGTAGTGGTAGTATCTGTTTCGGTGAGCACCCAGTTGTACGAGGTTTATTAAATTCGCTTTGTCTCATGCTACATTGCAACCTCAGTGGAAAAAAGAAGTCATATTTCCTTCCTGTCATTATGAGCACTGTGTGATTACAGACATCTACGACTGGTAAAAAATCTTGGTCGCTTCACTCGAACTCCGGTGTGGTTTGTGGTCAGAATCTTCACGTTAACAAATCACTTCTTTCTTTATTTCTTTATTTTTTAAAACTTTTTCCAAATATGAGCTCTATCACTCCTTTCTCATGAAGTTTTACACATTCCAGTATTATAAATGTACACTTTGTATTGTCAAGTCTTTGGCACATAAACCATTTGCTTGGCCAACAAGTGTGCACTTAAAGTTCAGAGATGTTTGAGAACTGTGCTCTCAAAATGGCTCAGTAACAGCGCTGTTTTGTTCTAGATTATCTTGCAACAGACTTCCAAATCGACTTAATGAACAGTTTGAGTTATTAATTACAAGTCATGTCACCAACTTTAACCTGGATAAACGTGACCAAGTGAGGATAAAATGGACTATCTTAAAAGTCCAGCAGCAAGACTTTGTAAAGTTTAAATGTGTTACTGAGGTAAAGCACCCTAGAAGTTTATAATGATATAATACAGTATCCAGTGATTATGATCTGCACAAATTAACAATGCCCAAGCTCAAAAATTATTATTACAGGTCGTACTTCAATATACCGTAGCTGCCATCTGTTTGGCGACAAACTATTTACAATCTATAGCAGTTCAGGTACAAAGTAAAGAGAGACAAAAGTAAAATAACTGTTTGAGCTCTTAAATGTCCTAACATGTACAGTCACAGTGTCCAATCTGTGGACAAAGTGTGGTGTAAATGTAGTAAAAGCCAGCATATATTTGGATCAGACGTTCGTGATGTATTGCTGATGACTTAGAAAGGTTTCGGGAATCGGCACCGACTCGTTGCTCTTAAAAATTAACGAGGCGATCGAGGACTCGGCTCACAACCGGCTCTGCTTGAGCCTGTCGATGTGGTAGCAGAGTTTGAGCGCTGGTCCCAGCTTCAATCCCAGGTACTTCATCATCATCTCGCTTTTCAGAAGAAGTAGGGCGTCCCCATCTATTTCCTGGAATATAGCAAGATATAGTTGTAAAGCAACGGAAAAAAAGGATTACTTTAAATATTCCACTCAAGTGCTGTGTGAGAAATGGAGGCAGCACAGTGACTTATTTAAAAGGCTCGGGGACAAACCTTCGTGCACTTTAAAAATTCTTTAATAATATTCATGCAGTTTCCATTTCAGCTCATTTACATTCAGGACCACAGGGCACTGGGTGACAGATAATTTGAGCTACAGCTGTCATATAAGAGATTTTTAAATAGAAAGCATACCCTGCTTCTTGTAAGCTGTGCCCCAGTGCATGTTGGGAAATGAGCTCAGTTCCAGTACATTTAGTATTTAAGTTACACGGCATTAAGTGGGTCGGACTTACATGCTTCCTGAATGCTTCCGCATGGGGTCCCAGAGCTTGGGGATCAGCATCTTTAATGAACCAAACCACATCCTCCACACCCCAGCTGGAAGGGTCCTTACCAACAGGACGCTTGCACTCTCCAGCTTCTGACATCGGGCTGTAGGCTAGATAGCAAAAGAGGACAGGCAGGGTGAATTTTTATTCTAAAAAACAAAAACAAAATTGATGATCTCATAATGTTGCCTGAAAAGAACTTAGAACACAGTCTATAGACTCTGAAGTGATGCGAAAGAGCCTTTACTGCTCATCTGGGTTTTTGGGTTTTTTTGGCTTCTGTAAACACTTAAGAGATAACGTCTCAATCGCTAGTTTTGAGTTTTATTAATAGCGCAGCAGTCTTTTATTTTGAAATTTCACCCAGTTAGATTTACATAGATGATGAAGGAGGGTGTAATTTAGCTTGTGAGTAAAAAGTTACTGAGCAGAATACTTGGTTTCTCAGCCAATCAACCCCTTTCTTTCCTTACTTCCTGTTTCGAATAACGTAGATGGCGTCGGCCAAAATTCTCAACTCATCGTTTCAAAATAAGTCGGCAAAACAATGCTTGTGAAAATGCTAGAAGTAGCTGGCCTAGCTCTGTCTGAAGGAAATATTACAGAGACACTGTCACCTCCTAGGCTAACCAATTAGGGAAAACGACAATTAAAAATTGTATATTACAATTTTACAAAGTGTTACCTTTGAGTCACACTGAATTTAGGCAGTATTAGCATGTGTACTACTTATGTCAAGCTTCTTCTCATGGGTCTTCCAGAGATTGCTGATCTCAGCATATTTCGGTAGAGGTCTCAGGTTAATCTTTTTGCATTGCACAAAATTCAATTATATTGAAGCTAAAAAACTCCAGGGTTTCTCACACTAAAGCTACAGCACACCTGACTGTGTGACTTTACTTGGGCAGATCTATGATGGAAACCCATCCCAAACCACTTACACCACAAATGACATTATTATGCTGTAAACTAGCACAACTATAGATGTAGGCAGATGTTAAAGAAATGCATATGAAAATAAATGCAAACATCTCTTGAATGATGAGTGATCTGGGCCTTCATTGGTCTAAATAATTTCATCTCTAAAGATATGGATAACATAATTACAATGCAAGTATAAACCAACACTAATGGCACAGGTGATGTGCATGGAAGTGCACCTGGCAATAATTTATAGCCTCACCATTTCTGTTTCCTTCCTGGTGACTTCCTGGGCTTGACGCTTGTCTGCACATGCCTGCTGTAGCAGAGCAACTGCTGCCACGGTAACCGTAGGACTGCTTCATCTGATACTGTGACGTCGTGACGCTGAATGCAGAGTCACTGGGATCTATAGCATAGCGCCTCGAGTCCACCGGTGGGTCACATAAAAAATCATCAGCCAATGGCGTCTCCGCTGGGGAGGGAAGTACAGGAAGTGGCATTGTTAAAGCCAAACCCAACAAAAAAAAAAGTTTCTTTTTTTAACATGACCATTGCAATTATACTGTGAGATATCCCATCATGGTTATCAGAGGATGTACCCTAACAACCCTGAATGAAACGACTTTCATGGATTATCATGAAAGCTTGATATGCCTGAGTTGCACTGAGGCAATGGCAAAAAAACAAGGTTAAATTAAAAAGCTAATGACATTTCCTGTTGGCCTTAGCTTTAGACTGTGTTAGGCGCTAGTTGATATTAACAAGCAAAAAGATGCTGAACATAGTACAAGCTATTATAGCTTAAAAATCATTGCATAAAGCTCAATGTATAGCCTCAAAACACTGCAAGTGTGGCTGTATTGTTCAAACTGGGTGATAGATACAAAAAGTAGAAGGACTGTGATGACCATATGAAATTTATAATGAGTCAAGAAAAAAAGATTCTTAATATCTTACTATATTTTCAGACCAGTATAAAGCCTTTGGGTGTATATAGTATATTAGACAGCTTCCTTTCACCAGACTAGAATAATATAGAAAGAACTGTATAATAAATACAAAGCTAATCTTTAGGTAAGCTGCATTAAAGCCCCCGCGGTCTGTAACTGTATGGATCTGAAATGGATGAAAGATAGTCAGTAATTCCTCAGAGTCTGCTCCCTTTGTGCCAGCTTTTCAGCTTGTCAATAATGTAAATGCTTGCTAGTTAAGTCAGAACCAGGCAGATACAGATTTTCCTAATGACAGATTTATAACATTGAAATATGCTACTAAGATGATTTTGCATTACTTCTGCATTATGCTCATGCAAAGGTTAAATGTACTGCTATTGTGTTCTGAAAAATCAATTATGATTAAGATCTGGGCATGCAAATTTGAAGGATTACACACCCCCACATGCACACAATAAGGCACATGTGCCCTACAGAATGTATTTTGATACTTTTCAAATATAAGCAGTTAGATATATAAGCAGTATTTTGCTGCATATCTACGAGTTCATTGCAACAGCTAAAAAGTCGTCTTTGATCTTTACATCATAACGTATTACTGCGGCACATACTATATATATGTGCGTGTTAAAAATAAGATTTAGAAGATTAGTCACTCAAAAGGAAATGTATACTTCCAATATACATAGATGCTCCTGAAATGCTTTTTTTCCACTGGAGGAAAAAAAATATCAATATCTGTCTGGGTGGCACCACGGGGATCGTGCTGATTTTTTGTCTGCATGCATATGCGCATGTGCACTTCATCTCTGTGTCTACAGTCTGACATCAAACACTTTTCATGATTTGCATGAACAAAGAGCAAACGGCTGGTCCTTGACGCATGAGATTTCCCCCCTCTAACCTTAAATACACTAAAGGCAGCCTTTAAATATTTGCTTATTCAAAGCAAGGCTAATCTTTAGGGTGGGAAAGATGTTTTTAAAATGAAAGAAAGCATGGTTGTATGACTTTTGTTTCCTATTTAAAAGAATATTTAAGATTCGTACTTCTAAAAATCTTATTTTCTAAGCAACTAAGGAAAAGAGGCTGGGAAGATTGGAAGGGAAAACAAAATATGTAACTGGGTTATGTGTGAAGGTGTGAGCCCTTTATCCTAAATAAATCCACATATGCTTGTGGTTTAAATTAGATAAATAAATTAGGGAAAACCAGTCACTAGTGTATTTAGAGAACAAAAATGAAACATCACATTGGAAAAAAAATAGACAGAAGCATTTTATCTTGCCCCTCAATTAAAGTCAAAGGCAGAGTAGTAAAGGATGGGGGGTTGTGGGGGTGGGAGATAATACAAGAAGTAGACAAAACAAAAAAGAAGGTGGAGGCCACAAAGTCACACCATCACTTCAACCAGTGAATGCACAATGAGAATCACATTTTGAAAAACCACCATTGGTTAGCTTTCCCTCAATCGTTCTTCCTATTATTCTGGGCCATAGTTCACATCTGTTTGCATGCATATGTGTGAATGAATGTGAGACCGTATGGTTGATTATGTGTATGTTGGAATATGTATGTTTATCTTTAATGAATGGCTTATTTCTCCACTATTGTTATTATTAATGGCCAAGCTTCTTTATGGAAAAACTGATCATTATAACTGTGCGTGTCTTTGTGTCTTTTTACCTGTCAGGACCTGTGGTGTGGCAGAATGGGGGACGATGGCAGCGTCCTGTGGGATGGAGCCCATCTCTGGCTCTGGTGTGCTGCTGGGAGGAGAATTGGCTAGAGGGGACATCACCATCCGGGGCTTCAGCTACAGGGGAACATACACATGCAGTCGCTAATTAGAGGTTCTGCATGTTGAAAACTGACATGGGTGAAAGAAAATCCTTAGCTATAGCTGTAGAGTTCCTATAATGCAGCACATACTATAAAGTCTGGTTAATGGGCTAGGCTAAAGCCCATTACTGTAGATTTACAGCTGAGGACAAAAGCATCTTGTTGTGAGCTTTGTTTAAAAGCAGGCAGGCAACCACAACAGATAAACTCACCAAACACTTTATTAAATACAGTCTCGGTTAAGCCCTTTTTTGCCTTCAGAGCTGCCTTAATTCCTTGTTGCATGGATTCAGCAATGTTGGAAACATTCCTCTGAGACTTGTGTCCATACTGACATGAGAGCATCAGACAGTTGCTGCAGACTTGTCAGCTGCACATCTATGACGTGGATCTCCTGCTCCACCACATTACAGTACAGTGAACTCTCTGTCATGTTCACGAAACCAGTTAGAGATTATCTGAGCTTTGTGACATGGTGCCCAGAGCAGCCAGCAGGTCATAAAGGGATAGGGATGGTCACCAACAACAATCAGGTAGGCTGTGTTGATATTAAGGGGCCAAAGGTTTGCAAAGAAAATATCCACTATACCAGGGGTGGGCAACTCCAGGCCTCGAGAGCCGGTGTCCCTGCAGCTTTTAGATGTGTCCTTGAACCAATACAGCTGAGTTAAATGGCTAAATTAGCTCCTCAACGTGTCCTGAAGTTCTCCAGAGGCCTGGTAACAAACTAATCATGTGATTCAGGTGTGTTGACCCAATGTGAGATCTAAAACCTGCAGGACACCAGCCCTCGAGGCCTGGAATTGCCCACCCCTGCACTATACCATTCCATCACCAAAAACAAGCTGAAATGCTGATACAAGATAGCATGGATCCATGCTTTTATGTTGTTTACACCAAATTTTGGTGCAAACATTCACACTGGCGTAACCATTTCTACATGGCTAAAAGCACGGAGCTAGTGTTGAGCGATTGGTTGATTGAATATTTCCTTAACAAACAACTGCATTATACCTGCTAAAATGGCTGGTGAGTGTAGAAAAATCACAACTTACAATACCGAGATACATTTACCAGCTTTAACTTTTTTCATACAAAATGTCATCACTTCTGCCCCAAGTAGAGGAGCTTAAGTATCTCGGGGTCTTGTTCACAAGTGATGGGAGAAGGGAGCGGGAGATCGACAGACGGATTGGTGCAGCGGCCGCAGTGATGCGGACGCTGTACCGGCCTGTCGTGGTGAAGCGAGAGCAGAGTGTAAAAGCGAAGCTCTCAATTTACCGGTCAATCTACGCCCCTACCCTCACCTATGGTCACGAGCTGTGGGTAGTGACCGAAAGAATGAGACTACGAATACCCTTCCTCCGAAGGGTGGCTGGGCTCTCTCTTAGAGATAGGGTGAGAAGTTCGGCCATCCGGGAGGGGCTCAGAGTAGAGCCGCTGCTCCTCCACATCGAAAGAAGCCAGTTGAGGTAGTTCGGGCATCTGATAAGGATGCCCCCTGGGCGCGGTTTTCCAGGCATGTCCCACCGGGAGGAGGCCCCAGGGCAGACCCAGGACACACTGGAGAGATTATATCTCTCGGCTGGCCTGGGAACACCTTGTTTTTTCCCCGGATAAGCTGGAGGAGGTGGCTGGGGAGAGGGAGGTCTGGGCTTCTCTGCTTGGGCTGCTGCCCCCGCAACCCGGCCCCAGATAAGAGGAAGAAAATGGATAGATGGATGGATGGATGTCATCACTTCATCATTTTATCCTTTTTGAAATTCTATGAAAACTCTCAATTTATGCCCAAAAACGTGTTTTGTGAGCTCACAGTCAATTTGGCAAATTTATTACTGATGGTTATGCGTGTTGAATGTTTATGCCAAAGTTTAAGAAGTTCCCTTAAGATGTTCCTTAGACACCTCATTTATGAGCATGGGATACGGTATTCCATTCATTCACGTACTATATAGTACTGAGCCACCCATAATTTCTTAATAGTTTGCTAGGAACATGGAAACTATAGGTGCAACGATTTATTTAAAACTTTGGAAATACAAATGGAAATAGTATATAAAGGAAAATATTGATTCTCTACTATTCTGATAAGCTTATAATCCCACCTTTATTCTTCAACACAGCCTTCAACTCTCATATGCAAGCTTTCTTTTCATTTCTTTAAGAAGTCTTCAGGAATAGTTCTCCCGGCTTCCTGAAAGACATTCAAAGCTCTTCTTTGGATGTTGGCTGCTTTTTGATGCGTTCCCAGCCAAGATGATCCCACTCTGCTTCAAAGATTTTGAGGTCCAGGCTCTGGGGAGGCCAATCCATGACTCATGGTGTTCTGTTGATTGTTTATCTATCCAGGTATGCTTTTACTACATTTGCAGAACGTTTGAGATCATTGTCTTTCAAGACATCTGGATCAATGTCTACATAAGACCTGTTACCACTGGCTGCCAGTCAGCATACCTCAGCCTTTTCTACCTGTTTCCTTTCCTTAAGGATAACTTCATGACAGCAATCCTTCCACAACAGATGGTGCAGCTGAAGTGCCAGATGCATCTCTCAGGTCCAGTGTCATTGGCTGGAATTTTTCGTATTTCTTAAAGACATCACTTTCAGATGCTGTTCATCAGCTGCAGATAGTTTTTTAGGCCTACCACTGCTTCTTATGTCATCCACTTGTCCAGTTTTCACAGTTTTTTAAGGATTAACTGCACACCACGATGACATATGCCAAGTTTTCAGCTGATAGCAAGGAATGAGGGCTGCCTTAAGACTACCCAGCGCTGTAGGTGATGAAAATAGTGGGCCATCATGAATACAGACATTCGAGCAAAATAAAGAATGAAAGCTAGGTTAAGTATATGTTTCACAAGGAAGAAAATGCCTTAGTCATTCAAAGGAATGAAAACACAACATGACAACATGAAAACTGTGTGAAAATTCAACTGTGTTTGCTCACAGGAAGACTCAACGGAGTGCACTCTGTGTAAAAAGAAAAATGCATTAAAAGCATTTTCAGTTGTTGATCACATATGTGAGGGAAGTGGTTTGTATGTATAACCACCAAGGGTTCAGGGAAATACGTATAGATTAGCAGCCTCAAAACACAGATGACCTATACTCAGTACTGTATATGATCGTATGCTGTACCAACAAAGACTCCTGCACTGCTGTGTAGACACGGTTTCCCTCTTCTATTAAAGGAATCCCCATCTACATGATTAAACTAAAAAATTAAACTGACCTTAAAGCCAGGCTTCCTGCCTCTTTTCTTCGGGACCTTAAGAGGTGACAGAGTTTCAACATAGTGGCTCTGGAACTCCAGCTTTCGGATAGGAGGGCGTCCTCGCTTCCTGCCAGGCACCTTACCTTGGGGCCCCGGTATGAACTGGGGGTCGAGAGCGGAAGCCTGCATCTCCGAGCCGGCGGACAAGGAACTCATCAGACCTGAGAGACAGCGGGAGAGATTATCAAACTCAAAGTGGCAGCTTTTAAAAAAGCGTGCAACACTGCTCAGCTGCAAATCACAGTGGAAACTCAGAGGCTCACTCACACACACTCACCGCCCCCCTCCTTCGAAACACACCAAAAATATAGGAAGTAGTAGAAACAAAGCCACATAAAGCTTTGTACTTTACTCCACCCCTCCCCCCCCAACCCTCCAGCTGCAAAGATTGCAATAAATATCATTACTGCACTACGAGAGAGAGGGAAAGAGAGAGAGACAAAGCCCCGCAAGCAGGCAGACACACAAACATAGGAAATGAAACCCACAACACCCACACACACTATCAAACAATCAATGAAGTGCGCTGTCACACAGACACACACACATTTACACACGCACAGGCAGTACTTTCAAGTGTTTGATTGAGTGCCATTAATCCACACTGCCTCTCTCAATCTATCTCAATCAATCAATCCATATTATTTTGTTTTGGGTTTTTTTTAATTATATAAAAGAATCAGCTGACTTTGCCTTTGAACACGAAGCTCTGTGCTTTACTTCTCAGAGCTCTCCTGCCAATTTACCCGGTCAGCGGCACATTACTCTTTCATTTCTGTAAATGGCTAAACAACGCCTTGATGCAACTTGACTCCAGTGCAGACAGACAGCAGTCTGCAAAGTATTTGCCACTGCAGAGGGAGAGAGAGAGAGAGAGAGAGAGAGAGAGAGAGAGAGAGAGAGAGAGAGAAACAGGAACAGAGGCAGACAGACCACGTGAATACGTACGATGCCTTTCATCCTCTCTCTCTCTCTCTTTTCCTCAAATAGAAAAAGCTTCAAAGTGACCTGCTGAGCGTTACTTACCATGCACACAGCTGTCTGTGCTAATTGCCGTCTCTGTGATGCCTCACCTCAGCAGCAGATTTATGGATGTCCCCCCCCCTTCTCCTCTGACAGATCTCGCTTGCTCCAGCAGTCTGCCGCTGCTGTCCTCCGCTGCCACACACTGACTGTCAAGACACCGGCAACTCCGCGTGCCTCTCTCTCTCTCTTCCTCAATCTCCGACACAACCCCCTCCTCTTTCTCTTCTACCCTAACCCCCTTCCTGTGTGTCCCCTTTCAGTCGCCATAGCAACACGCCTCTAACATCCCGTGGCAGCCGGCAGACGTGCTGAGCTCAAAGCACTGTGTGTGTGTGTGTGTGTGTGTGTGTGTGTGTGTGTGTGTGTTTGTGGCAGTGTGTGTGTGTGGCAGTGTGGGACAGTAATGTAATTACAGTTGCTGCATCTCGGGGTTCTTCTTGCCTGTCTTCAGAAAAAAACAACAAAAAAGAAGGCTTAGAGCGGGTGACAAAGGATTCAAGCTGTGCACTGTTTTGTGCTACAAGCGTATGAGTTACACACAGTAAAATGTCTGTTTTTTCATTTTTGGAGAAGAAATTTCTGCACAGGAAGATTATTTTCTTAAAGAGTCCAGACCAAAATTGGAATATCTCGCTATTTGTTTTTCCTTTGCCTGATTACTTTTGAATCCATGAAGCTTATGCAGACTGGCTTTAAGGTAAAGAGATCAATTTTCCCTGTAAACATCAAACGGTTCCAGCAGAAGCCCCACAGCCCCTTTTGGTTGCGATAAAAGATCACACTGCTGTCAGAAACTCAACACTCTTCCTTTCATTTATAGTCTTCTTTGGCTTCTATGTCAGCTAATGTAACGCATTTCTTGTTTTATCTGTAATGAAAAAGAAAACAAACATGGAAAGACAAAGAAAAGGGGCCAGCCAACGGCTTGTCTGTGTCTCTAAAGTAAAAAAGAAAAGAAGAAGAAAGCAGGCTCGAGAGGGCTTATTTGCTCTTAAAGGTTACAAGTGTACCAACTCGGGCTTTTCCCCTCACTGCATATCGATTAGTTACGCCCTGGTTGCAATGCCGGTTCCCGTTCCAAGCTGTATTTGTGGGGTTTTAACACTCAATCAGAAGCAGGTTAACCTTTCAAGAAGGAGCCTCAATCCCTGACGCACGCAGGGCGCCTGCATTCGCGGCCTCTGCGAGCGTGTAAAGAGATTTGTCAAGAGTCGGCTGCAAAGCTTCGTTCACGGGATGTTTTAACAGTGAATATTAGGTGCCAGGTGAAGTCTACGTGATAATAAAAAACAACAACGACAGTAAACAGCAAGATCAGGACAAATACTCTGTAAAACTGTACACATACACGCACTGTAATGGCCTGAGTGCGCAAAAGTGAGAGCCATAAATCATAAAAGTAATTACGCGGTGAGATTAATCCTGATGTCCCTCTTCAATCAGTCCTGTCTCATTACGGCACATCACATTAGAGACATAGACAGACTGAGACAGAACAGATAATCATCTTTTACTTAAAAAAGAATTGGATATGAGGGGTGGGAGCCCATTAACACTCACCGAGTCAATATGAGACAGCGCCAGTTTTTGGGGGGTTTTTTGCAGGCAAGCAGAAAGATTTTCAGCATTGCACGGGACCCACCACTCCCACCCAGACCCCCAAACACAATACGGTTGGGATCGCAGCCTAATTTGTTTATGGCTAATAAAACAATTAAGCAATCAGTGAACCCCTGCATGCGATTTTATTTTCCTGCTGAGGGACATCGGAAGTCAAATGTTGGAGGGAGCCTGGTGTTACAGACTCAGTCATGCAGCGACGATCAGCAGTGATTAGCATAACATAATCACTGGCTTCGGGGCATGGAGATTTGTATCCGCTTTCACTTACGCAGAGGGGACACAGCAATAAAGTGAGTTATAGTTATGCCTCACTAAACTGCACACCTAGACACACACATAAACAAACAGTCTAATCACCGCCTTACAGACACACACAAACCTAAATGCATGCATATAATAAGTGCAGTAAGACAACATACCCTTGCTTGGCAGCAGAATAGATTAGTATAAGTGTGTTTTTGTCTATGTATATGTGTGTATGTGTTTTCTAATCAGTGTAACAATATAACCCCCCCCCCCCCCCCGAATTTATTTACAGCTCAGGCAGGGCGTCACCATGGTAACAGACAGTGAAATCGGATTCTGCACCAGCGTCGTGTGATAAGGTGGGAATAAATAAAAGGATAAACAACAATGCGTGTATTAAATAGGCGAGCTCTCACACTCCGCCTGCCCCTCCTTATCTCTGCTGAGCCCTTCTAACTACACAGCACACTTCAGAGAGAAAAGTGGAGGTGGGGAGTGTTGCTCTTTGCACCAACTATGGGTCATGGCGGTGGTCTTGGAGGGGGGAGCTCTCTGACATAGACTAAGCCACACACCTGTACACACACATCTGTATGTAAAACTAGGCTTAGATGTGGTCTGTGGTCTCAAAAATATTTGTAGATGTTGAATTATTTATAACATGTGACACAAACTGACAGGACATCTTTCCAATATCCTTCTTATTGTTACAAATTTGCTTTTTTATGCATTTCTGCTTCACAAGGTAATAGGAGAATGTAAAACATACTCCCAGTCATGTCTGTCTACTTTGTGTGACCTTAATAATATTATATATTATATTATAAAATGCATTTCTATTATATAAAATTCTAGATTTTATGAATAATATCAAATTTTTTCATTTTATTTTTGTTGCAATGGCTGGAGTTGAATCTCTACGTATTTAGCATCCATATTTGTCTTTGATATACAATCATCTGCCACTTTGTTAGGTATACCTTTTCACCTGCTTGTTAACATAACATTTTATGTAAATAAGAAATCACATGGTACTGACTCAGTGCTGTAAATGTGGCATGATTGTTGGTACCAGACAAGTTGGTCTGTGTATTTCAGAAACTGCTGATCTACTGAGATCTTGTACTGATTTCCACTCTAGCTAATCATAACATTACTGTTAAACTCGTACTTTGTGTGTCGGAGTCCTGGATCTTCATACTCTGCACGGCTGACTCTGACTCTGGATCCAAGTTAACCAGATGCCAGCAACTGCGCCCCCTGTGGTCACGTCGATCTTGACGCAGGTGCAGACGCACACCTTTGCTGAGGGTGCCAGGCAGTCCCATGCCCTCAAAGTCAACCGCGTGAGGGCAAAATGCACCACACTGGAACGGCAGAAAGAAAACGCACAGAAATAATCATGTGTACATGTGGCTGATACGCTTAGTTTTTCCATTATTCCATTTGTCAGCATTAATCAAGTCTTCTGAAAATTAATTTTAGACCTTTGAATCCAAAAATGAGTGTGGAAATGGAAAAGAGCAAGCAACTTAAGGACAGATGGAGTAAGACAGAAATGGACAGAGTGAGCAGAAGAAGCACAAAAATTAATTGGGATGCCGATTGGGTAATTATACTAGTGCACGCTCAGAGGTCAAAGGAATAAACTGGAAGTTAATGGGAGAATATGGCTTAGCTAATGATAAAAGTATGTGGAACAATTTGTCTTTTATGCTGTAAAGCGAATGCAATTCAGCCTCCGGGGTGCTGGATTACTGATTAATGTGAACTAACGTGGCTTTAGTCTTCTTTGTACTGAATGGAACAAAAGCGAATGAGAGGGAAGAGCGGAGCCGAGAACTTGTAGACTTAATGGAAATGTTCATATTATCACCCCACGCTGAGAGCAGATCTTGTTTTCTGTGTGTTGTTTGTTAATTGCTATTTCAAGTTTACAGAGGACCTGGTTATATTTATCGCTCTCAGGCTTAGATTAAATAATCCTTGCAATTTTTAGCTGCTTTTGCTTTCCTGAAGGCTCCATATGGACTTCCACCAATGGAAATTTAGCAGGGATTCTAAACCAATCAGTCTAATCACAAAAATATATTAATTATATGCAGCTTATGCTTATACAAAGACTGGCACTGCAAAGCTCTATGGATTATCAGCAAATACAATTTGATGAGGAAGAAGAGAGCGTCACAGTGTCATAAATATCCTAAGCCTGGTGACAAAATTAACTTATTTAAATTGCAATCAGATATTACAAGGTGACTGTGTTTGCTAAATAAACATATTGTAATTAATCTTCCCTGTCGTCCTCAAGCGATTCGACGGGAAGGAGAAGACAGAGAGGAAAGTCATTTCCTTCAGACGCAAACAAAACGAGATAAGGAACATCAGCAAAAAAGATTTTTGTGTACAGTCCTTGTAAAATTCTTTTCTTCGCATTTCACTCATATCCTGTCTCTCTCCCTCCACTAACTCCCAACGGGCACAGCAGATGGCAGCAGGTTTCTTCCTGTCAAAAGAGAGTTTTGCCTTCCCACTGTCGCCAAGTGCTCAAAAGGGGTATTGTCTGATTGGTGGGGGTTTCTCTCTATTGTTGTAGGTCTGTCCTTGAAATATAAAGTTATATAAATAAAACTGTATTGAATTGAACCCTCTATAATAGGGATGTCATGGAACACATGGGAATCAATTTGATACTAAGTGTGTGTGTGTGGGCGGGGGGGGGGCAGTATTAATAGAAAAGTCTTAATCAGAAGGAAAAACTACATATGAAAACACTGCTGAAAGTCTGAAATTTATGCCTTCCTTCACATTTTCTAAAGCCATAGGTGTGGGGATTCAAGTCTTTCCTGGGCATGTTCCGGTCCCCGGACTTTATGTTTAATATCCATGCTTTATAGGATCTGTAATGAATTATTCCCAGAGGAAATTATGTGAAAAAAATTCCATGGCAACAAGAAGGACAAAAACTCTCTCGACAAACATGTTTGAGTTAAAGCTATTTAAACAATCAGAAAGTAAGAAAAAAGTTTAAAGTGCAGGGAAAGGGGGAAAAAACAGGAGCAACTGAAACAGTCATTCCAGCCATGCTACGAGGTTATACAGGACTCCTCCCGACAATCATCTTGACATGCTGACGTGTACATTACAGCATGCTTATATTTGCTAATGAGCACTGAACACAAAGTACAGCTGACGCTTTTACCAAAAATAGAGCATCAACTGAAAAATGACCCAATGATGGCACTTTGGACAAAAAGATTTTCAGTCCAGTAGCTGTCAAGATGTTTGACTTAAAACCATAAATATAAAGGGAAGCATTAGGGTACACCGTGTGTGTTTGTATAAGTGCTCACACTAATACATCCTCAGCATCTGTCAAACATTTCTCATGAAAACATAAGCAAAAGGGGTAAAAAAAATGAGATGACATGAAAAAGGTCACGTAGCGCTGGATGAAGATTTGACCAGATCACTAAAGTCAGTAATGGGGTTCATCTAATTTAGGGTTTAAGAGCGCAGTTTGGACTGAGTGGAAATGACAGAAAATAAAAAGAGAAGTGAGAGGTGGCAGTTAAAGGAGGAGACCAGATAAAAACTGGACAAGGAAATGAGAGAGGGAGGAGGACAACGTGGAGAGAGAGGCACATTCAAATGATTGAACTCTTTAACTCTTTCCTCCATAAAGATGGCGTCTGACAGCCTAACCTGTACCCTTAATGGTGGGTTTTGACACCTCACTATATATTTAATAAAGAGGTAGTTTGAAAACCATTAGAATAGTTTCTGGGTTTTTCCAAAGGCAGCAGGTCTGAAATGTGATAGAAATTGCTTGGCTCAGAAAAGAGCTTCAGGGGTTACTCCAAGTAAGGGGTAAAGGGTTAAAAAGTGCTATGAATGTTATAGGAGCATTGAAAAAGCACAAACAAATTCCAGCTATTTAATGTTTTTTTGTTTAGTTTTTAAATTAATGAATAAAAAACAAAGGAAAAATGTAGAAAAACAACAAGGGAGGGGGGGAGGAAGAGAGTAACAAAAAAAAGGAGTGGGAGACGATAAAACACTCTTCAGTGTCGGACTGTCGGATTCAATCAGGCTGCAGATGAAAAAATCTGCCATGAACCTCAAAATTCCCATTTACAAAAAAAAATGTGAAACATCAAATAGTTATTGTAAAAACACACAAACACACACACACAAATCATGCACCATGAAACAACTCGAATGGAAAAAAAACCTTCAGATTTGATGAAATGCAGTGCAACCGACACACACACACACACACACACACACACACACACACACACACACAGCTGTTCTTATTCAGGTAAGCCATGAGCGAGACACATGTAGCGATGGAAAAAGCACCAGAAAGGCTCTGATTTTTTTTAAAAAAAGGTCTTTTTTGATTAAAGGCTGCGGCTTTGCTCACGCACATAATCATCAAACGTGCTGCTCGTGCTTTACGAGTGTCACACTCCATCCCTTTGCACTGCAAATCCACCCCATCCATTTTAACAGAGTAAGACATCCATAAATAGGCTGCTTAATACCATCCATGCATCCATCCATCCATCCATCCATCCATTCGCTTCCGCTTATCCTTTGCAGGGTCGCGGGGGGTGCTGGAGCCTATCCCAGCTGTCATAGGGCGAAAGGCGGGGTACACCCTGGACAGGTCGGGACAGACAACCATTCGCACTCACATTCACACCTAGTGGCAATTTGGATTATCCAATTAACCTATCCCCACAAGCTGCTTAATAGGTAAAAGTTAAAAAGATTATAATTGCTACTTTTTTCACACAAGGAGCCTGAGATTATATTTTTTTGTAAAGAATCCCTGTGATACCAAAATACGTTATTGCTTATGAGTTATGGTAGAACAAAAAGCCTTGATATTCAAAAGAAGAACACTGAATATGTAAATTAAGAGCGTGGAATTTCAAAGAAGGTATCTGTATTTTATTTGATTTGCCAGTGAATCTCACCAGAAAATAAGACAGAAGAAACAGAAGTGGATTATTGTGTTTGTGTATTAAATAATGGTTTGCTGTCTTGGAAAATGTAAAAGCTTAAAAACCAAATCAAAAGATAACTTTTTAAAATAATTTTCAGCTCTGCCAAGCGTTGCCAGCTTTGGTAGCCAATGTGGAATTTTGGACTATGTGTATATATATATATATATATATATATATATATATATGAAAAAAATAGTGTATTTAATGTTAAAGAACCACAATGTCTACATTTCCCAACGCATTTCACAGGTGACCATCTTTTCATTATTTTTTTAAAAAAGCTGAGAGTTTAATGTCCTTCTGTACTCTATTAAAACACTAAGTGATCTTTAACAATTAGGCATTAAATCATCAGACTGAGCTCGAGCAGTCCACAGTGGAGATTTGCTACAATGACGACTTTAATTACACTTTCTGTCATTGATCGCAGGCCCTGGCTTCCCTGGCTTCTCCACCCACCGCTGTACAGGTTGTTTTTTTTTAGCTCAGGGTCAGCATGTTTATAAAAGGGAACAGCACGAGAAACTCTGTAGACTTTGCTTCTCTAAGTGAAGCAGCCACGTATTAAACTTTTATTTTCAGTCAGATAAGCTGGCCTGGCTTCAACCCTAAAGAAAAACTCCAAGATGTTCAGGCAGTCATGACAGCAGAGGTGAAGCCTTCATTACTGGATGCTTTCCTTCCAGTCATCCTTACTTCTTTCCTTTAGTTGATGAAGGGATTAACAGATAACTGAAAGCATATTCAAATGAAGAGCTATGCGTTACCACTTACACTAAAAAAAAAGCTGTTTGCCTGCAAGGTAGGCACATGGGGGCCCACATGGGGGCCCACACCCCACTGCAATCAACCTTTGTGATGCATGATGGGAAAATAATTACTTTGCCATTAATATATCACACAGGCTATATATATATATAGTTTATCATTATCTTGCCAATACAAGGACAATCAAAGGAGCATGATCCTGTAATAAACAATGCTTTAATATAATTATCGGATCTCTGTTGGCCCAGTGTGAGTGTATTTTGACCTTGCAGGTTAGACTAATGAAATTAGCACCCGTGCGTTTGTGCGCTCTAAGTCCAGTAACGTCAGGATGTGAGAGGGTCGAGTCTGTAGTAGGATTTATTTACCTATGTCGAAGCGGTTGATTCATCAGCGGGGAATCAATTTCTCCACAGCAGGCTGGCTGAGCACACAGTGCAGCATCAGATGCAGCACAAACACCGGGAAAGGAGGGGGGGCACGAGTCCGGGTTCCACCCCTGCAGATGCGGCAGGGAGGCGAGCGAGCTCAGTGGGCTGCCGGCGGGAAGCAGAGCGGCAGACTTCACCTTCCTAACGCGCCGTCCGATGCTTTTCAGAGACAGGAGTTGAAAGATCCTGCAGGGCGGAAGCTGAGGGGGAAAGTGCGACTGAATTGTTGGTGTGCATAATTTTCCTATCTGGCCTTAAAGCTGTTGCCTATTGCGTTTTATCTCCACCGGGTTCAGGAGAGCGGGAGAGATGGCATGGTAAATAAAGTAGTAGCACTCAAACTGAAGAGGTTCAGCCCCCTTTGACAACACAAAAACACCCCTCGGTGGGCATGGAGTGCGGGAGTGTGAGCCCAGTCCAGACAAAAACAACCGACACGGGTCTAATGAGTCATTTGATTAACATTTTACGTGCCTGAGTAGCTTTAAATATTCATAAGGCTTCTGTCAGGCTCATGTTGATGTAACCATAATTTACCCCCACAGTGCCGTTACACATGGCTACATATTGATATTATCCAAATCACGATGCTATCATAGAGAACTGACTCCAAATTTGCAAATTATACTGACAGGGAATTCCCACCTGTTCCTATGAGGAGGAAACCAGTATGTGTGGCAGTTGGTGATCAAGTGTCATTTAGGCCACAGGATTTTAGCTATTCGGTGCTTTAGTGATATGAAAGTAACTAGTTACATTTCCAGAAACAAGTGGCACTCACTGAAAATGGAGTGTATTTATGCCGACAAATGTACGAAAATTATCATAATAAATGCACAGTTTGACAATAAATGAAGCCCTTATTTGATTATAGACATTTTAGGTTTAACTGGCTTTCAAATTCATTTGGGTTTACTTTCGTTTTAATATTAATATATTTATTTCTGTATTTACTTAAGAAATACAAAACTATCAGCCCACCTTTTTAGTCTCACATAATTTTTTTACATATTCACTTCATTATGCAAATGAGGATGTTATATAAAGTGGTCACATGTTTACTTTCTAGCTACCAGGTTCATTTAGTAACCTGAGCTAAAGCTAACACCGTCAATCTGCAATAAGTTACGCAATATTCCTTTTAAGACCAAATACTACAAATATAAATATATACAAAATTAAATCCTGTTCAATGCATACAATAATAAACCAGCTCATTTAAAAGATTTTATTTGAAATGATTTTTAAATACAAATAATATAGTTTTTCATTTACAGTGACAGTTCCTTTGTAAACAAAAGTGGCAGATAATCATTGGGTAGTCATTTGTCCAAACTGAGGCAACTTGCCGGCCAGTTGCCTGGATAAGGTCTGTCATGGGTGGGATGGCGTATTTTACCTCACTGCATTCTCCCCCCACAGCATAAATCACTGATGCTACATTCTATTGCAGAGTGATAAATACTCAGATTACAATTTTACTTGTTAGCGCACACCTGCTCTGAACACAACTACAGATGGGTATAGTTTGCACATGTGAGATTGTGTGAATGCGTATGTGGTGCGAGGAGAGCATGCTTAAACTTTCATCTCTCCCACACTGACATGATACACTAGTAAGCACTGTAAAAAAATAAAAACAAAACAAAAAACACACAACTGTATGGATATTTGTGGTGATAGATTACACATTACTGAAACTGCCAAGTTGCCAGGATACAGCAAGAGCCCACAGAATTACTCAAAGTAGCTCTGTTCTTTTTTTTTTCCTTCCCAAAGTCTAACACATGTAAAAATCAAGGTTAGATTACAACAAAACCGGACACACATTTATGTATTACATGATTAACGGAAAAATTATCAATGAAAGTGGGAGCCTGAGCTGCTCTGTGTGCCTCAGAAAAATGGAAAACTCCCAGGTTTGGTTAAAAAAAAAAACCAAACTACTCAATCTGACATGGCAGTAACTGCAAACCTAAGCCTGTTCTGCTTAAGAAAAAAAACAAAAAGCAAGTTTAACAGTTTTTTTCCCCAGATGAGCGCTGTGTGTGTCTCTCTAACGGGGATATCATACTCACTTTTACACTCACAATGCACATACAACTGCAAAATAACTGTACTTATGGGAGGTATTGTGATGACAAAATCAGTGATATGTATCCCAATACTTATGAGCTACAGGTTATCAAATAAAAAGAAAAAGAAAACCAACACTAAAGATTCTTACACAAGAAAATTTTTTTTACTTCTCTCTCAGGAACCAGTGGTGCATAGCACCCAAGGACTTGTATGTTGCAGTATTTTAGTTGTATTCGTAAGGCCTTTTTCAGACAAGGAGTACACACTGGAATGTGCAGCAAAAAAAAAAAAAAAAAAAAAAAAAAGGAAAAAAAGATTGAGATAAGGTAAGTAAATATGTAACGCTCTCTCTCTAATACATTTATATATATTTTGACATCAGTATCTTATCCCCAAAAAAGACCGAAGACACACCTTTTAGTGTTAAACTAAAAGATGACTCATTCAAACAAACCCTAACCCAAGTTTTGTTCAGCTTCCCCTCCAGTTACATTTGAGATCACATTTCAACTCGAGCTCCACCTGCTTTCAATCAAACGTCTTCTCTTTCAGAAAAATAAAAAACATTTTAAAGTGAATCACGCGGGGAGAAGGGGCATCACTTACAGGACTGGCTGCAGATCAGCATCCATCTGTGGAGATCTCTGTCAAAAATACGTGTACGGACAAACGAATGGCTGATTTGACAGTGGAAGTAAGTAAATATCCCAAATGGCTGACTTGGTTGCGACGTCCAAAAGCAGGACTGAACTTCGTGCTTCTGCAGTATAAATGTACAATAGAAAGCATCACTGCTATGGTGCTGAGCATTATTAAAAACAGGAGCAAAGTGTGTTGAGAATGATTTCCATACGGAGATCAGCATTTTTAATTTTGCAGATGGAATTGGCGGTTATACATCCCCACTCCCTGTCAAGAAAAGAAGAAAAGAGCCAATATAATAATAATAATTAGAATTCTAACAATAGATCCTCCAGTCCACAGTGTGTCCATTTGCCATACCTGTACAAAGACACAAGGTTACATACCATTGACTCACTCACACACACACACCCGCTCACTCACACACACCCGCTCACTCACACACACACACACACACACACACACACCAGGCCTGTTAGTATTCACAGAATTCTCTTCCGCCAGCAGCGGAAAGTGAATAAACAAGTCTCTGTAGAAAAGAGAATTTCGGGGTGTCGGGATTCAGGTCACAGTCCATGACTTTGCAAAGGTTAAATGGAGGAGGGCTCTGTGTGTAGAAACTGTCCCCGGTGACTCTGTGAGTGTTTGTGGCTTCGCTGCTCCTCACTGACTGCTTTCTGGCTTGAGCGGGGTCAGCAGTGAATGTGTGGCCAAGTCCATGAGAGGGTAAAGGGAGGAGGGAGGGGAGGGCTGAGCGCGTACGCACGCGCTCAGTCGTTGTCCTCATCGTCATCTTCACTCTCCTCGATGCCGTCGCTGTCCTCTTGCTCCTCGTCCTCCTCCTCTGTGTCGGGGATGTCCCACTGCGGGTGGTTGTCCAGAATGGCCTTGGCCTCGTGGACCTCCAACTGCACAAACACAAAGCACTTGTGTTATCATCATTGCAATTAACACTTTCGAGTCTGTGCATATTATTTAAGGTGATTTGTAGATTATTACAAATGCTAGCATGTGCCTCAATATGACTTAAGATGCTCTTGGAAAACCGATAAGGAAATATTGTAACACAATACTGGGAAAAATGACCTGTGCACCTACATGAAATGTTAAGGATCACATGGGAATCTAGGAAATGTACAGCAGCGGTTCCTGGTTTACGGCATTTAAAATGTCAATTAAGCAAAAGGTTGCTGGTTTAATTCCAGTTACCTGCTGTGGCGACCCCTTGTGACAAGGAAGCAGCTAAAAATATTGGTGTAATGTATGAAGTATATCAGCCAATATTTGCTGATCTATCAGAGTCAGTATTATATCTGCTGTTAAGTAAATTAACACCAAGCCAACTAATTATCTGACCTCGCTCTGATTTTAAGTGGCTGTCTTTCCCAGTGGTTTCCACTTTGTTATAAAACCACTAACAGCTGACTGGAATATGGACTTGTGCCATCACTGTATCAAAACACCGTGAGCTCGTGAGAGTGACCCCCTTTTTTTGTTGTTTTTTAAAAAATGTTGTTAGAAGTCCGCATGCTAATACTTTTGGCAATATAGAGTATATATTCTCCAATATATCTGATTTTTTAAATATATTAGTCTTAAAAATTCTCTCTGTTAGGCTCTAGTAAAGAGCCTGCAAGTGTTTTAACTCTTTCTCGCCAGTGCATCATTTAATTTATGCATTTAGTGCTTGGCCCACATGTTGTGCTTTATGGTTATTATGGATAACCTCCTCTCTGCCTGCAGAAGCGCTATCGGCCACTGACAATGGCTGACAACTTTCATATAACACAAGGTCATTGAAAAATATATATAAAAGATGTAGTGCCAACCAGAATCCCCATTCAAAGATGTTCTACACATTTTTTTGTGTAGAACATCTAAATACACATCCAAATACTGGATGAAAATTAGGTACTAAACAAGTCATTTTATAGTATGTCTATCCGACATTGGCATTGACATTTTTTCCACTGCAAGCACCACATGCTTTCAGAATGAAACCAATCTCATATTAGGTTCAAGTCTAATTTGAATAACATTGATTTGAAGATCCTGCATTTTAAGATAAAGGTGAGCAGCTATGAAATAAATAAATTCTTGACCGGTAGAAGAAACACCAAACCTTAAGTGCACTTAAAGTGAACTGCCTACAACAATACAAATCATATTGCTTCTGGCTAGCAGTCAATACCCTCATTCCTAACATCTTGGCAGCAATCAATACCATTGTTCAGTGAGCCTCAGCTACATTTGGCTGCAGCTGG